TATGGCGCCGACGACGTTTGCCGCGACAGCGAGGATTTCGCATTTTGGATGGGCGGCCGCGCGCAGGTCACGACATGGCCAGTGCCACGGGGGAAAGCATGCTCTCGAGCCCCTGCAAAGTCAGCCGTCCATGACTTGTCACGGTGTTATGATTATCTTCCCGAGACGGGTGCACAGGTTGTTATTGTTCATGAGTTGCGTGCGCTTGTGGGCCTGATCGCTGATCGGCAAAGCGAGGTGACTGACGCCCGATGCCGTGGCATATGGAGTGCTGCCACACCGAGCGAGTATGGCAGCCCTGGGGCCACGGGTGGAGTGGCGGTGCTTACGCATCGCGGCCACGGCGCCGCCTTGCTCGCCCGCGCACGATAATGGTCCAGGGCGAGTGGTGGCAGCGCATGCGCGATCCCTGTTACCCGGGTCGGTCTACTTCAGGGGTGGCGAGAGGCTTAGGCCTCGGGGCGCATCGATGTCTGGCGTCTGGCGGAGCACCTCAGGTTGCTCAATGGCGCGCAGATGCCCTGGATCGTTGGAGGGGACTGGGGCATGGATGTCAGCGCCCTCAGCCAGTCGGGCTGGCTCGCCAGCGCGGGGGCGGCGCACGTGCGTAGACGCTGGCCGCGCGCGGGCAGATGGCGCCATGTCAAATCTTAGATGCCTTTCTCTGCTCCAGTCGGCTGTTGACGAAGCTCAAAGCAGGGGCCAAGGTGGGCGAGACCGCCACAATGTTTCTTCTTGCCTGTTTCGCTCGAGCTTAGCAATAGTTCTGGGCCAGTTTGGGCCAGAGTAGCCAGGAATCCCAGGGCCCATCAGGCAGCGCGGCCAATTCGTCGCTGCCCGCCCGTGGCCCCGCGGGGCGCTACGCTCCAGGCTGCGGCGCCGCAGGTTACGTCGCGCGATTTGCTGCCTGGCCTTTCCTGGGCGTGGTCCTCGAGGGCATTTAGAGGCAAGCGCGCCAGTGGGCGACCCTGTAATTGAAAAGGGGGGCACGCTCGCAGAAGCCCCCCCCCCCCCCCCCCCCCCCCCCCCACCCCGCCCCCCCCCCCCCCCCCCCCTTCCAAAGGCGGGTGGGGATTCGTGACCCCCCTTTCCCCCTGCCGCCCTCGGCGCTGGAGGCCCCCCCGCCCCCCTCTCCTTTGCGCGCCGAACAAGGGGCCAGGGAGGGGGCCTCTCCCGCATGGGGGTGGGGGTCTTACCTCGGGAAAGTGAGTAGTGAGTAGTTAGTGGAAACTAATGGGTAGTGGGCAGTGCATAGCGAAAAGTGAATAGTGAGTAGGTAGTAGCGAGGAGTGAATAGTGAGTAGTGTGTAGTGAGTAGTGAGTAGTGAGTAGAGAGTAGTGCGCAGTGAGTAGTGAGTAGTGAGGAGTGAGTGGTGGGTAGTCGGGAGTGGGTAGTGAGTAGCGCGTAGCGAGTAGGGAGTAGCGAGTAGTGATTAGCGAGTAGCGAGTGCGGCACTGTGAGTGGAGAGTAATGAAGAGGGTGTAGCCAGAAGTGAGCAGTGAGTAGGGAGTGGTGAGTATCGAGTAGGGAGTAGCGAGTCGTGAGTAGTGAGAACTGAGTAGTGAGTAGTGGGGAGTGGGGAGTGAGTAGTGAGTAGCGAGTACGGGGTAGCGAGTTGTAAATAGTGAGTAGCGAGTCGGGCATTGTGCGTAGTGAGTAGCGAGGAGGGAGTGGTGATCATTGAGTAGTGAGTAGGGAATAGTGGGTAGCGAGTAGTGAGTAGTGAGTAGTGAGTAGGCATTAGTGTTTAGTGAGTAGTTGGAAGTGAGTAGCGGGTAGTTGGTAGTGCGTAGGGAGTAGCGCGTAGAGAGTACTGGGTAGTGAGTAGTAGGTCGTGGTTACTAAGTAGAAAGTATTGAGTGACGTGTACCTAGTGAGTAGGGAGTAAGGCGTAGTGATTATTGACTAGTCGTTAATGCGTAGTGGGTTGTGAATATTGCGTATCGAGTAGCGAGCAGCGAGTAGTGAGTAGCGAGTAGTGAGTAGAGAGTCGTCAGCAGTAAGTACTGTGTAAGGAGTAGGGAGCAGTGGATAGTGAGTTCTGATGGGCAGTGGGTTGTGTGTAGTGAGTTGTGAGTACTCATTACTGAGTGGTGGATAGTGGTTAGTGGGTAGTGAGTAGTGATCAGTGAGTAGTGGGTAGTGAGTGGTGTTTAAAGAGTAGTGAGTATTGAGTAGTTGGTAGTGAATTGTGAGTATTGTGTAGTGAGTAGTGGGTAGTGGGTAGTGAGTAGTGGGTGGTAAGTAGTTATTCGTGAGTCGTGAGCAGTGAGTAGTGGGAAGTGAGTAGTGAGTAGCGAGTAGTGAGTAGTTGGTAGTCAGTAGTGAATGGTGAGTACTGATTTCTGTTTCGGGTTAGGCTTAGGGCTTGGGGTTAGGTTGCGGGTGGTCGGGGTGGTAGTGCTAGGGGTGGCAGGGGTTGGGTTCTGGGCCAGTTTGGGCCAGAGTTGCCAAGAATCCCAGGGCCCATCAGGCAGCGCGGCCACTTCGTCGTTGCCCGCCCGTGGCCCCGCGGGGCGCTACGCTCCAGGCTGCGGCGCCGCAGGTTACGTCGCGTGATTTGCTGTCTGGCCTTTCCTGGGCGTGGTCCTCGAGGGCATTTAGAGGCGAGCGCGCCAGTGGACGACCCTGTAAGTGAAAAGGGGGGCAAGCTCGCAGAAGCCCCCCCCTCCCCCCCTTCCGCCCCCCCCCCCTCCCCCTCCAAAGGCGGGGTGGGATTCGTGACCCCCCCTTTCCCCCTGCCGCCCTCGGCGCCGGAGGCCCCCCCCCCTCCCCCCTCTTCTTTGCGCGCCGAACAGGGGGCCAGGGAGGGGGCCTCTCCCGCATGGGGGTGGGGGTCTTACCTCGGGAAAGTGAGTAGTGAGTAGTTAGTGGAAACTAATGGGTAGTGGGCAGTGCATAGCGAAAAGTGAATAGTGAGTAGGTAGTAGCGAGGAGTGAATAGTGAGTAGTGTGTAGTGAGTAGTGAGTAGTGAGTAGAGAGTAGTGCGCAGTGAGTAGTGAGTAGTGAGGAGTGAGTGGTGGGTAGTCGGGAGTGGGTAGTGAGTAGCGCGTAGCGAGTAGGGAGTAGCGAGTAGTGATTAGCGAGTAGCGAGTGCGGCACTGTGAGTGGAGAGTAATGAAGAGGGTGTAGCCAGAAGTGAGCAGTGAGTAGGGAGTGGTGAGTATCGAGTAGGGAGTAGCGAGTCGTGAGTAGTGAGAACTGAGTAGTGAGTAGTGGGGAGTGGGGAGTGAGTAGTGAGTAGTTAGTGGAGACTAATGGGTAGTGGGTAGTGCATAGCGAAAAGTGAATAGTGAGTAGATAGTAGCGAGTAGCGAGGAGTGAATAGAGAGTAGTGTGTAGTGAGTAGTGAGTAGAGAGTAGTGCGCAGTGAGTAGTGAGTAGTGAGGAGTGAGTGGTGGGTAGTCGGGAGTGGGTAGTGAGTAGCGCGTAGCGAGTAGGGAGTAGCGAGTAGTGATTAGCGAGTAGCGAGTGCGGCACTGTGAGTGGAGAGTAATGAAGAGGGTGTAGCCAGAAGTGAGCAGTGAGTAGGGAGTGGTGAGTATCGAGTAGGGAGTAGCGAGTCGTGAGTAGTGAGAACTGAGTAGTGAGTAGTGGGGAGTGGGAAGTGAGTAGTGAGTAGCGAGTACGGGGTAGCGAGTTGTAAATAGTGAGTAGCGAGTCGGGCATTGTGCGTAGTGAGTAGCGAGGAGGGAGTGGTGATCATTGAGTAGTGAGTAGGGAATAGTGGGTAGCGAGTAGTGAGTAGTGAGTAGCGAGTAGTGAGTAGGCATTAGTGTTTAGTGAGTAGTGAGAAGTGAGTAGCGGGTAGTTGGTAGTGCGTAGGGAGTAGCGCGTAGAGAGTACTGGGTGGTGAGTAGTCGGTCGTGGTTACTAAGTAGGGAGTATTGAGTGACGTGTAACTACTGAGTAGGGAGTAAGGCGTAGTGAGTATTGACTAGTCGTTAATGCGTAGTGGGTAGTGAATATTGCGTATCGAGTAGCGAGCAGCGAGTAGTGAGTAGCGAGTAGTGAGTAGAGAGTCGTCAGCAGTAAGTACTGTGTAAGGAGTAGGGAGCAGTGGATAGTGAGTTCTGATGGGCAGTGGGTTGTGTGTAGTGAGTTGTGAGTACTCATTACTGAGTGGTGGATAGTGGTTAGTGGGTAGTGAGTAGTGATCAGTGAGTAGTGGGTAGTGAGTGGTGTTTAAAGAGTAGTGAGTAGTTGGTAGTGAATTGTGAGTATTGTGTAGTGAGTAGTGGTTAGTGAGTAGTGGGTAGTGGGTAGTGGGTAGTGAGTAGTGGGTGGTAAGTAGTTATTCGTGAGTCGTGAGCAGTGAGTAGTGAGTAGCGAGTAGTGAGTAGTTGGTAGTCAGTAGTGAATGGTGAGTACTGATTTCTGTTTCGGGTTAGGCTTAGGGCTTGGGGTTAGGTTGCGGGTGGTCGGGGTGGTAGTGCTAGGGGTGGCAGGGGTTGGGTTCTGGAGCCGGGGGGCGCCGTGGCGAAAGGGGGGGGGAGGGGCATCGCATTTGGCGGCCAAAGGGGTGGGACGGGGGCGGGGGGGTTCGGACCCCCCTCCTTTTGAAAGGGGGAGGGGGGGGGGTCCCGACGACGGACCGGGAAAGGGCCTCCCCCCCTTTGGGGCCGTCCAGCGGCGCGCCCTCCATTTAGAGAGAGCTTGCGGGTCGTTGGGGCGCCGTCGGGACCTGCGCCGGGGCCTCTGGGCCGCGGTGGCCCCGCCCCGGAAAAGGACCCATAAGGATCCGAGCGCTCGCGCCTGGGCCACCACTCTGGGTTGGACCAAACACATTGTTGAGATGCGGCAGTACCTCGCGAAGGCGGTTGGGCCCCTTTAAAGTGCAAGAGCTCGCTGCTCGCATGTGCCCAGGCAATATCTTAAGCCGTTGCAGTCTCCGGCGGAGTTCGCCGGGCTCGTGCGCAAGATTGGGCATCTTGATGAGCACGCCCACATTTTTCTCGAGAGTGGGTTCGCGGCGTCGGCTCGGCCCGACTTCGCCAGAGAGCTGCGGGCATCTACGTCAGAGCCAAGGCTGCCCTAGCCAAGGCCGAGAGCGCCCCCGCCCATCCGTGGTTCAGGTGGGCCCGTGAAGCGTTTCAGTCTGGTGCGTCCAAGGCGCGCGAGTTTTCGAAGGTCAGAGCGGCCCATGAGATCTTCTCAGCAGGTGCCCACGCGGCTCCGTTCTTGCTGGCTAGTGATGCACTCGGAGACGCCACAGCTCGTCCGACCGTGCTTTTGCGCACAACCTGTGCCGAAATTGCTGGGTTGCTCGGCGATGCGTCGTTGTCGGCGCTGCTCGAAGTGGCCAAATGTTGCGAGGTGATTTCATCGGGGCGACTGCGCCAGGAGGCGAGGGCCCTGGACTTCCCCATGCGCCTAGGTTGGATGCTCGTGGACTTGCGCAGACAGCCGCGGCGTCTCCCGGCGTTTGCGTCGCCGAGTCACATTTGTGTTGCGCATCGTGGCATGCTGGCTGGATGCAACCACGCTGGTGGCACGCTGTTCCTTCTTACTCCGCGTGCTGTCAAAAGAATCGACGGCATTTCTCCGCAGGTTACTCCCCGCGCACTCGTGGACCACGTGTCCGTGTTGATAGTTTCTTCGTCCAAGCTGGACAATCCCCAGTTGGGTCGTGCTGTTGAGAGTTTCACGGCGGATGCTTTTGACCTTGGCCTCTGGGTCCAAGTAAAGAAGATTGGCCTCGAGACCGGCTTCGGCGTTGGCCGTCGGTTCATGGCCACAGTCGAGTCTCGCATTACCCTGCCGTTGAGCCGATGGATGAGGAATCTGGGCACGATTTGGCCGGCGGGAGGGCCGTCCGCACGCGGGAGGAGAAACGCATGCAGGCGTCGAAGGACAGGCGAAGGCAGTTTATTGGCCTCAAGTCGGCCGCGGGTCGACGTCGGGCCGCCATCTGGCGTGCTGGCGCCCTTCCTGCGGCAGGGCATGGATGGGGCAGTGTCGCGTGCCTCTGACGCAGCCATGAGGTACTTGCACCACATGGCAGCGCTACGTTGGTCGGTGGCAAAAAGGGGGGGTGTTACTGGGTGCATCATCGCGCATGCTGACCCCCTGCGCGACCCGATTTACGGTTGTTCGCTGGGGTGGTGGTGAAGTATTTTACGTGTGCGGAGCGGCAGGGATGAGTTGAGTAGGGGCTTGCGGGCCTGGTTGCACCTGCGTGATGCTATGATGGGCGCCCGACATGGAACAGGCCCGAGGGCCAAAGTCTGCGGCATGTCTCTCTCTCTCTCTCCCTTGCGCATTGAATAGACTATGGTCAATGCGCGCACCCTGCGCAGCGACACCGGCACCTCCTTTTCCTTGTTGGCCACGCCGCAGCACGTCATCCGGCTGGCGCTCATCGAGGGAATTCAGAGACGGCAGCACAGGCCCCTCCTCAGGCACATGAGCCCCTCTGATGGCACGGACACTGTGTGGCACAGAGCGCTGCGTCATGGTATCAAAGGGGTTTGATGTCCTAAGCAGAAGGGAGCCTTGTCTGCGGTGTGGGCCAATGCTGTTCCCCTACCTGCTGCACATGCTAGCCTAACATATGACGCACGGGCGACTGCCTGGCTTGCCCCCGCCCCGAGGGCACGCCGCCACGCATGGCATTGCTGCCCCAGGTTCGTCTCTGGGACGGGATGGACCCCGTGGGCCTGGAGGTTCCAGGCAGGCTGAGGGAGCACAGCGCTGCACGAATTAATGCCAGTCCAGACGTGTGCGGGGAGCCTCGGGCAGACAGCACGTGCCTTACTTTTGGACTCCCCGCGCTGTCTGTTTCCCTTCAGGCCCCTGAGGACCGCCCTGTGTTACTGAGTTTTGGTGATGCGCCTGGTCCGTGGGGGCCTGATTCCTTTTTGGGCGGTAGTTGTCTGCGTAGCTCGATCCCCGAAGTGGCGAGAGCTGGGTGGGCTGCTGTGCAACTGTGCCCAGCCCCGCCCTCCATCAGAGCTTTCTACAGAGGTCTTCCAGGCCCCCGACAGACCATCCGACGCGCCGAGTGATTGGCTGTGCTCCGTGCGCGCGCGGCTAATCCATTCACGTCTCGCTCTGATCTGACCTGCAGGCTGTCGTTCGCGCAGGAAATTCGCGGGGTCCTGGGCTAGCGCCTGGCACGGCTAAGCACGCAGGGATTTGGAGGCAGGCGTTCTCGATCCCTGGCGCGTTGCAGCCTCGCTCCAGATGGTGCCCCGCCCCACGCGAGTCTTGATGGAGCTGTTGGGCGGGGCTTGCGTTCACGATAGTGGGCGTGAGATGTGCGGGCCGACTCGTTCGCCAAAACCGGTGCCTCCCAGCATTACGTGTCCGGTGGTTCTGCGAAGGCGATGGTTCGAGAGCCCAGTTACCCTCGCCCCACGTCGCAGTTTCTCTCTCTCTCTCTCTCTCGGGCGCCCCAGCGGCTGCTTGAGGCGCAGGGGTGGACGGCGGTGGGTCCCGATTTCGCTCCCAGCCTCCACGCGGCCCCCGCCCCCACTGGCCGTCGCCGCCCACTATGTGTGGTACTCCGCTGCCCTGGCTGAGGTGAGTGGGGGTGCCAGGATTGCGGGCGGTTTGCCCATGATTTGCTCCTCGCTTAGGGCCCTCGTGTGCCATGAGGATACCCGCCAGTGCCTGCCCCCCCCCGATCCAGCGACATGTGCGTGATCGTTGGGTTCTTTCCTTCCGCGTGTCGTTTTCGGTCGTTCGCTCTGAGGCCGTGGGAGTCGCTCTGGAAGCGGCCGGCAGGGCCAAGGAGGAGGTGGCTCAAGGCTGGCGGCGGAGGTAGGTGGCACGGCCACTCCCGACGGCGCGCTTGCGCCCGCGTCTTCTCGGCCGCCCGATCCTTTTCCAGGCCCTCGGGCATGATGTCACTTCGGTCGGACCTGCGCACTACTGTAGGCGCTGCGGTGTTCACGGCGCGCTCGATAGCACGCGCCATCTTCGCGTTGCGCGCGGAGGGCCTTCCGTTGTTCCCAGCACCCTGGCCAACCAGAGGGGGGAGGCCGGGCGAATTGAGCGGGGGGGGGCACCCTGGGGCGGGCGAGAAGATCGCGGTGGCCGAGTCGCGTTCAGACAATGGGGCTTCCGCCTCGAGCCGCCGCGGCCCCGCCGGCGCCTCTCCCCCGTGGCCATTCTGGCCAGTCCGAGTGCGAGGGTGCGAAGGTCCCTCGCGCGATCCCCGGGCTCGCGCGAAGGTTGCCCTTGTGCCGCCGCGGGGGTTGGTTGTGGGTTGGGGGTCGCGGCGCCGCCCGGATAGCCGCGTTCCCCCCTCTCCTCCCCCCCCGCCGCCGCCCCTGCTCCTGGTCTGTGCCGGGCGGGCCTGGTGCCCCATGGCAAGCTCAGGCTCAGGGCTGGGTGCCCCTCCTCGTTTTGAGGGGATGGCGTGCGGAATAAGAGTTACGTTGCCCCTGGCTCACGGGGTGTGAGCCCATCAGCAGAACGGCGCGCAGACTGCTGCAATGCCGAGTCCGACCGACCGTGCGGCCCCGCCAGTGGTGACGCACGGGGGCTCTCGGCGGCGGCGTCGCCTGTCGTCGCCCGCCACGCCGCCCGCATACGCCGACTCCTTCGGCGGCGCGGCCGCTCTCGGCCACCAGACGGGGCCCCTTGACACTGGACCATCGCCTCGGGGCTTGCCCCTTGGTGGTGGCGCGATGGTCGTGTCCTCCTCTCCTCTCCTCACCTCTCCTCTCCTCTCCTCTCCTCCTCCTCCTCCTCCTCCTCCTCCTTGTCGTCCTCCTCCTTGTCGTCCTCCTCCTCATTGTCCTCCTCCGCCTCCTCCTCTTCCTCCTCCTTCTCCTCTTCCTCCTCCTCCTCCTCCTCCTCCTCCTCCTCCTCCTCCTCCTCCTCCTCCTCCTCCTCCTCCCCCCTCCTCGTCTTCGCGCGCCCCGTGGCTTTATCGGGGGCTCCACCAAGAAAGCCAAAACGACGGTGTCCGCATGCGTTTCCCCCTCGCAGCACAGCGCCATTTTGCCCCATGGGAGTTCAACCGAATGCCCACGAGGCGGCGTCAGAATGCGGTTCTCACACCCAGCAGAGCGCCCCGTGGCCATATAGGGAATTCCACCAAAGGGCTCAGTGGCAGTGCCCGCATGCGTTTCCCACGCCCAGCACAGCGCTTCGTGGCCCCATTGGGAGCTCCACCGAAGGCATTAGTTGCGGTATCCGCCTGCGGTTCCGCCGCCCCGTTCGGCGTTTCGTGGCCTCGTGGCCCCATGTGGGGTTCCAGCGAGTCAGTGGCGGTTTCCGCATGCCGTTCCCCCACCGAAGGTCCCAATTGCGGCGTCCACATGCGCATCCCCCACCCAGTGCAAAACTCCGTGGCCCAATCGGGAGCTTCACAGAAGACCCCAGTGGCGGTGTCCGCATGGGGCGCCCCTACAGTACAGCGATTCGTTGACCCATCGGGGGCTCCACCGACGGCCCCAATAGTGGTGTCCGCATGCGTCTCCCGCACCCAATGCAGCGATTCGTGGCCACATAGGGAGCTCCACTGATAACCCCAATGTCGGTGTCCGCATGTGCTTCCCCCGCACAATACAGCGATTCGTGGCCCCATGGAGAACTCCGCCGAAAGCCCCGGTGGCGGTGTTTGCACGCGGGCCCCCCGCCCATTGCAACGCTTCGTGGTCTCACGGGAGTTCCACCGAAGGCCTATTGTGGTGGTGTCCGCAGACCGTTCCCCAGCCCATTGCAGCGCTTCGTGGCTCCATGCTGGGCTTCACCGAAGGCCTCAGTGGCGGCGTTCGCATGAGGTCCGCCCGCCCCGTTCAGCGCTTCGTGGCCACATAGTGAGTTCCTTCTCCCGCACAGCACAGCGCTTCGTGGCCCCATTGGGAGTTGCACCGAAGGCCCCAGTTGAGGTGTTCGTGAGCCCCACCGATGGCCTCAGTGGTGGTTTCCGCGTGCTGTTCCCCCACACATTACAGCGCTTCGCCGCTCCATACGAAGCTCCACCGACTGCTTCAGTCGCGGTGTTCGCACGTGTCCCCCCCATTCACCACAGTGTTTCGTGGCTCCCGAGGTAGCTCCACCGATCGCCCCAGTGGCGGTGTTCGCATGCGTTTCCCGCACCCAATAAAAGTGTTGGTGGCCCCATGGGGAGTTCCACCGAAGGACCCAATGCCGATGTTCGTATGCGTCTCCCCCACTCAGTACGCCGCTTCGACGTGAACAGGGAGAGGGGAGATGGAGTTGGGAAGGACGTGGAGACAAAACGACCGCGCACGGGGCCCAGGCCAAACAATCAAAATCCCCGCTCGCCCGCGTCAGTTTCCCCCCCACGTCCACGCCGCAGTCCTCATGTTGGCCCCCTTCCTTGTCTCACTTGCCTCGCGATTGTCGCAGTTGCATATGGCTGGGTCCTTCGACAAGCAAAGTTTCATCGCGTGCCCCGTTTTTGCCAATCACAATCTGACATTCGCGAGCGAATGAGGACAATCGGACCTTCGACAAGGTGCTCGGGCTGCCTCGGATGTCTCGGCGGCGCGCGCTGCAGGGGGGGTCTGGAGGAGGGGGAGGTACCGATGCACCCGCTCGTCCTGGAAGGTCTTCGCCACCACGGCTGGACTGTTTTCCGAACAGTTTGGTCAGAACGCATCCCTGGAGAGGTCCAGGGAGTAGCGGTAGCGGCATTTGCTTTTTCACGCCAGGTGGGGGTCAGAGGAGGACGCAGTACCGATGCCGCCACCTTCGCCTCGTGTTCGCCTTCTTGGGCCTAGTGGGAGGCCATCGTCGTTACGGCTACATTATCGTAG